AATTATCGCCTTCGCTCCACTTACTCTACTTACTCTAGAAGGCGGGACTCATGAAGTTGGAGTGCACTATGGGTTTCGCTCCACTACTCACGATTCACGAAAAATTTTGAGAGTAGTTCCAGAGCTGTCAGAACCTCGACACTCTCAAAATTAGCAGCCTCGCTGCACTCTCTAACGCGGCACTCTCTAACTTCTACGGTACTTCAAGGCATCACTACCTGACACCCGAAGGCCTGTTTCGTCCACCGAAACTCGAGGTGAACACTCAAATTATGAGGCAGTAAAGAATGGCACGGCGGAGCACCCACAAAATTTGGGAGTTCGCAGGCTAGGGACTCTCGAACCTTCAAGAGTTCAAATTGAGAGAGAATTCTGACAACTCTCGACTCAAATTTCAAGATTCATTTCGTTTGTAAGTGAAGCGAGGCCAGACTCACAAAAATTCATGAGTTGAGAGTAATGGAGCAACACCCTATACCACATCACCACCCCACAACTAAAACAGTTACCTTGTCAGCTGCAATTCCAGGTGCATTTTCGAAAAGTGAAGCCCCACAGCCGACCTCCCTCAAAAAAAGGGGGAGTTGCAACCTGAGGACTCTCAATGGTTCAAGAGTGCCCTTCACGAGTACTTTCTAAACCACGCTCGGAGGGGATTTTAACGAGTCCCTTTCGAGAGCAAGTTGAGTAAGGCCAGACTCGCAAATTTTTGAGAATCTAAAGTGGCGGAGTGAGACCCAATAGCTGGCCTGGCTGCTAGATCTAGATCTGTTTGCATGGAGTCCATCGCTCCCTAAGCAGATTTAGAATTCAGTCCTTGCAGGGTATCAGTTGTTGGGCAGTCATTGATGCGTAATCATGATTATCTCTTATAGTAGTATCATCAATAAGGGGACTCTGCATAGTGTAGAGCGTTCGACCTCCTGATGAGTCAGTGAGACTCTGACGAAACAGTATGTCATAGCCCCTCATTCGTTATCCTCTTCTCCCTCTCTACCTATGATTCACCAGGCCGTATATTTGTAACCCTGACGGAACTCTATGACTTAGGGTGTCGTTCGACACTCCTCAGGGCGTCCTCTGGCCCTGAGGACGAGTCCTCAGGGAAGTTCTGTTTTTTTAGGTGTCGTTCCACCTGTCCTCGGGAATGGTTTCGAGGACGAATCCTCGGGGCGCTCGCGCGACCAGTTTTATAGTATCATGCATGGCCGCGGGAGGGGTGTTCGCGCTCCGGTTGGGGATGTCCGCTGGGCCCGAATACGTGGGCGGCGAGAAAAAAAATAAAAAATGGAAAGGCGGGAACGCCCCCACCCGAAATTCAAAATGTGAAGAGAACTGCCTGATGAACCATAGGTAGAAAGGGAGAAAAGGACAACAGACAAGGGGTCGTGGCAAATCGAGGCTAATGTATACAAATATACACTATACACACATTATTGTGACACGCATATATTTAGTATTTACATATGGGGCTACATACATACACAAACGTAGACGTGTATATATTGTCAAACAGAACTGGGCAGTGAACCATAGGCAGAGAGGGAGAAGAGGACAACAAACAAGGGGATGTGACAAACGATTTCGTTGGAGTTTCACTGACTCATCAGGAGGCTGTGCGTGTGTCTGTTGCTATTCATATTAATAATGTTTACATGTATGTGTGATAAAATTGTCATATAAGATAGACATTAAGCTAACTGTAGATGCATGAAAGGAACCATGAATGGAAAGGGCAAAATTTTTGACATATGACGATTTGTGGCATGCCCGTAAAATGCATGGATGCTTGGATATAGAAACTCTTTTGTGGAGTTCTTTTAGCCTGAGAAAGACCCTCGTGCAGTAGGTTACAAAGCTGTCTCTTATACACATCTAGATGTGTATAAGAGACAGGTTCTAGGGTGTCTGAAATACGGTCGAGTTCCTAAACGGTACGAGTTTGAAGTCCCGAAACTACATAATTGGGCGCGGAATGAAGGGATCATTCCACAATGGAACTACCTCGCAGAGTGAAATTTGTACCGTAAACCTATAGTCGAGTGTAGTTAGAAGGAGATTATAAGACCCAGAATAGTAATTGCAGTCGCCCTCCATCTTATAGTCAAGGGAATTCTATACTTATGATGCCTGATACATTTGTAACATCCTTCCCTCTGCAATAAACTAGATGACATTAAACAAAAAGACAAAAAGACAAAAAGACAAAAAGACAAATGACATTGGTGTGCGGCTCGTAACGTCTTGCATAGCAACTGCCTTTTTTTTTTTGGGTGGTGGTTTGGGGGGGGGGGGGGGGCCCCCCTCCATAGAAATTACTGTAAACCACCAGTACACCTGGGTCAGGTGGCCTTCCACTGCGCGCCAAGATTTTCCAAACCGCCAGCGGTGCACGCCTTTTCTTTTTTCACTGGCGCCAACAGCCATCGTGATCCGGTAGACCGAAGCCTCTGAAATTTTCGTAGGCGCTGAAAGATTTCTCCACAAGGCTGTGGCCGTGAACTGGCAGTTTGAACCGCCAGTACACGGCCCCAGCCTTGCAGAAAGTTTTTGTCGCCACAATCGAAACTCGTAGGCCGCACGGCATGGGGCGCCGTTGAAAAAAAAAAAATGCGGCCTCCGAAGTGGTGCGGGTTCCATGCTGACACCCGTGGGCCTATGTATGGTGTACTGGTGCTTTCACAGATTCGTAAGTAATACAACCTGCTGTCTATTAGAGGGCAAATTCAAAATTGACTTGATGATTAGGTGGTGGTCATAAAATGTGCAGCAAGCTGTTTTGTCAGCTTCACCACTTTTGGGCAATATCCAGCCAATGACATAATATGCTTTTCTATTTATTCCTGTTATTGAAAAGACCCAGCTTCAGCTTACTAGAGAAGTGATAGGAGGAGCTTCCCCTGCCTTCTTCCCCCGAACATAATGCATATGCATTGTAAGCGAACACAACACATAGGGTGCGTTCTATTCGAGTACAACGCATTTGTGTTCTATTCGAAAAGCCCTAAAATTCGAAGAGCCCTAAAATTCGAATGCAACGCATATACAATGTTTATACATTCTATTCAATTTTCTTTTTAATTTGAAAACTCAAATACAACGCATATGTGTTATGTTTGGAGTAAGAAGGTAGTTCCAAGGAGGGAGGTGCGGGGGGGTGGGGAGGGTGTTGGCGTCGGCTGAGCATATGAGGTTCTTCTGAGATTTGTGCTGGATACAATCCATGAAATAGTTTATTCCAAACAAATTTCACACCACGATGATGCCATCCAGTTTGAGCCCTCTAGACCGATCGACCACCAATGCCCGATTCTATATTCACCCCTGCATTTTTTTTATAATGGTTGACCCATTGCACAATGGGTAATGAATGCTGTGGACTTCTTGTGAGAACTCCCTGTTCACAATTTGCTATTTATATTCCAGTACCGACTCGGGTTTAGGGTTTTAAGAAGAGCGGACAGAGAAGATGAGATGTCAGAGGTAATGGGAAGAACGAGCAACAGTACTAGGTTTTATGGCTTAAGATGAGGATAGGGGAAAAGATAGAAGGCAGATGCTTTTGTTTATAGCTAATTTGACTATTGTTAATCCAGTTTTGTGACTTTGTCTTTGTTCCGGAATAGCATGTTCCTTCATAGGACAAAGGGACACGGGACCCGGATTCAGTAAGAGCCAAATCTGGGTAATGCCCCCCCGTCTTCCGGGTTGAGATGTGGAGGGATTCCCGGCCTCCTTTTGCTCCACATATAATAAAGCATGCTTAGAAAAAAAGAGAAAAAAAGAGAAAAAAAGAGAAAAAAAGAGAAAAAGAAAAAGAAGAAGTACCAAATAGTCTAAAATTCTCTGAATAGTGAATACACAATTTAGATATAAGAAGAAGAATGGCATTATTATAGTCTTCAATTATGAACCAATGACAATATCTAAATGACCCAAGAACTTTCTGTTTTGTCTTATCTGGAACTCAGACCCAAATACCATGCCCAAATATCTCAACTTCATTCCCACTGTCTGCGGAGATTTTGACAGCGCGACTGCCACCTTTTCCAAACAGAACGCACCCTCATCGAGCCTGCAATAATAGACGGGAAAGATAGCGTCTATACATTTATGATGAGGGTGCATTGTGTTTGGAGTCTTTGGACAAAGACGGTAGCTGTGTCGGGATAATATCCGGTGCCCCGACGTGCCGGGGTCAACCGGTCCCTGGTGAAATACGACTCGATCCAAGTTTCTCTATTTTATGGGATGCAGACTCAGACTCTGATTGTCAGAAGGTGCTGCTACCCGCCAATAGACGCAGCCAGAGTAAAAAAACAGACCAGACATGAAACCCTGGGTTCTTCCTGGCAGGCTGCCCAATCATCTGAGTTACAAAAAGGGTTTATAGTACTTTATACTTTCGTTTTTTTCCACTAATTTTATAACTCAATGTGGGCCTCAGCCTAATTCTTTCCCTCTGATGAGTCTGCAGCAGACATAGCAGATTACGATAAATGTTTGCCCCACTTCACCATTATTCGCTGGTGGGAAGGCGCACAATGCCGCACATTGAGACTTGATGACAATAGAAGCCAAGATGTTGGCAGCAGCAGCAGCAGCACCAGCACCAGCACCAGCACCAGCAGCAGCGTCCTTCGGGACACCCCCATATAAATTGGAGCGATACAGAGAAGATTAGCATGGTACCTGTGCGGAGAACGAAAAAAAAAAGAAAAAAAAAGAAAAAAAAAAAAGATGATGGCAGCAGACCAGATAACAGAAGAAAACACAAGGTGTGAGAGCAGGAGGAAGGTTCAGAAAGCAGTTGGGGGGGGGGGGAAGGGCAGCGCACGGTGCATCTTTCAAGAACAATGAGGATTACTAAAAAGAAGAAGTAAGGTTGTCGTCAGCTTCTCAGGCTTTCGTTTTACTACTGCTGCCAAACCCTTTGGGCCCTCCTTCCCTAGGTTCCTTGGGTGCCTTCTTTGGTTTTCGGGGGGACAAAGCCGCAGCGGCGGCTGCAGCCTTTTCTGCTTCCTCAGCAGCCTTTCTCTCCCTAAAGTCAACGACTGTGAGGTAGATCACCCCTGCACTGAACAAGACGAGTGCCACGCCTGCGGCCACAACGAGCACAGAGATAAGATCATTTGTCAAAACTTCGGAGCCGCTCAACTCTACTGGTTCTGCACCTGCCCGCCGCTCCCACAACAGGGTTGTCCCGGCGAGGAAAAGCGAACACCATCTTGCAGACGGCGAAGAACCAAAAGGAGTGCCGAGTTCTGTTTGCTTCGAGTTCTCTCCGTGAGATGGCGCCATTGACTGGACGACCGGCATTGTGGGCTCTGTCGCAACCTCGCCTGTGTGCACGCTTGACAACAAAATGGCTTCTGCAGGAACTTGGTCCGCAAACAGGTCGGAATGCATTGTGCATATATGCTGCGACATGCGCCGGCGCATCGTCAAGGCCAAAGAGTCGTGTTGCCTTTGCGTAGAGCCCAACGCGCTATCTTGCCATCGTATCATTCCAGAGCACACAGCTGTGCTCAAACAGTTCTTCGCTTCGACATGGTGGAAGGGGTGGCTTGAGGTTGAAACCTGTCGGTGGTGGTCCCGCCGTGCCACGACCGGTAGTACAACAGTGGACACGGAAGTGGAATAAACCGGTTCCAAACTGATTCTCGTGGACATCGACATTGTGGCTGCGGCCTCTGCTGCCTCTGCTGCGGCCACTGCTGCCGTTGCAGCTGGCTTGCTGCCGCCTCTGCTGTGGCTGCTTCCGTTGCCGCCTCCTCCTCTGCCCTGCTGCTGCCTTCGCTGGTGCCTCTGCCGGTACCACTGCTGCTGCCTCTCTGCTGCTAATGACACTGCTATTGAGGGCCTCCTCGCCAATGGGCGCGTAACGTTGCAACACTTCCTTCCCTTTCACCCACGGAGGGAACAGTAGAAACTTCCCACGTGCACCGTTGTTCCCTAAATAGCCGTGGGGGGTACCTCTGCTGCTGCCTGTCCTGCTTCCTCTCTGCTGCTAAAGACACTGCTATTGAGCGCTTCCTCTCCTATGGTAGAAACATTGTGACACTTCCTTCCCTTTCACCCACAGAAGGGAACAGTACAAATTTACGATGTGCACTGTTGTTCCCTAAATAGCAGTAAGACACTGTTTTCCCTCAATCTCGCAGTACTGTGCCCAGATAACAACATTGACTGAAAGTCTGAAACAGATTACAGTTTCTGACGCCTCGTTCCCATTTCCAATAGGTTACCGTTGTATCACCAGGACCAAGCCAGCATTCTTCATTCGCCCTGTTCGTGTACAAATCACTGTGCGCAACATGAAAAATCCTCGTGAAAACTCAGCGATCTGCCCAATGGTTTGTGTGTCCCTAGTGCACAACAACTTTGCAAATGACTGCCAGAGACCCAGACCCTTCCAACACTCTGTCCTCTTGTGTGCCTCTGGTTGCTGCCTCCCCAACCTTCCTCAAGTGGGCCCTAGCATTCTACACACCAGAAAAGCCCAAACTAGACAGCTCTGCTTGCGACAACAGTATGTGATGCAGTTCTAAAGAAGGAAAAGGCAAAAAGGACAAATTATGGCTCACCACACATCTGATGATCCTCCTTGCTCAGTATCAATCTAACCAGGAAATGCAAGCACTCACACATGCATCTGAGTAAGTGTCTGTGTCTTGTAGATTGTCACCACAACTGTTGTTTGCGTGTGTGTGTGTGTGTGGGGGGGGGTCGGTGTCCGTGTGTGTGTGTGTGTGTGTGACTGTTTTAAGTTCCAATTGAGTGACAATCTTGTCCTTTCTCATGATTGAAACCTGTCTCTTATACACATCTAGATGTGTATAAGAGACAGGTTCTAGGGTGTCTGAAATACGGTCGAGTTCCTAAACGGTACGAGTTTGAAGTCCCGNAGAGAGAGAGAGAGAGAGAGAGAGAGAGAGAGAGAGAGAGAGAGAGAGAGAGAGAGAGAGAGAGAGAGAGAGAGAGAGAGAGAGAGAGAGTTATCTGAGGTACTTTCAGTACTTCCTATGCTGCACCTATTTCGCCATTTACTCTCTAGATGTCAGGACTCAGGAGTGACCAACCATAGAGCATAGCATAAATACAGTAGTGTAATTATTGTTGACGCTTCCTACCAACCTGCACAAACACAGCAGCGAGAGATGTACAGAATAAGAGTCAACGACTTTCCACCAATGCGCCTAGATCAGTTTGGTATAACCACGAACTGTTGAAATACGGATCCAAGTTCATCCAAGTTCAAATCCAGATGACATAAAAACAATTCTGAATTACTTGGGGCTGGTCAGTTCAATGATGACATCTCAAGGCCATTGCCCTTTTTAAAAAAAAAAAAAAAAAGGAAATGAAAAGACTCAAAAGAGTCTATGACTTTTCGACATCGATAACTGTTTTGCAAATGCAGACATACAGCAAAAGACAGAAACACATTTTCACAGACCGACAACTCACTCCCTTCATAGTCGAACATCTATGCCAGGAAGGAGTTGGGCATCGATGCAGATTTAGCTTGATGAGAAGTTAAGAGGCTCATATACACTTGGAAGCCTGGAAGCTTGGAGTGCATGAAGAGAATCCAGGAAGCATATCAAATGATGTGATGTAATCTGGCCAGTTCTACAGTTGGCCGTCACATTAATGAATGCAAGTTTCAGCTCAGGTCCACAAGATGATCGGATGCTCATGGCATGTTTGCCTGATCTGCAAACATTGAAATCTCGATCTTTTTCCCGATTATATATGTACCCCAAATCGAAAGTGCATGAAAGCGTGCGTGCCCAAGCCAATTCGCTCTTTCCAATTAATCTTGAGGGCAGACAGAAACTGGCTGCTTCGGCTCCTGCTACTACCGTCGTCAACCAAATAGAACACCCGGTCATTGTCACTGCATCCAGACTGAAAGTTGCCCCAAATATATAGCTATAATGATTGGTCGTTCTATTCAGTTGAAGATGGTAGTACTGCCATGGGCACTACTATCACTTCCACCTCTTCTACTGACATCACTGCTGCTACTTGTTCTTCTACTATTAATGCTGCTTCTGTTGCTGCTTCTGTTGCCACTTCTGCTGCAGCTGCAACTGCTACCACCACCATGCTCATCAGCACCATTACCACTGTTTACAGCGCTGCTCCTACTGCTATGACTGGCATCTCCACTACTGGTGGTCCATTAACCGCTAGTGCCACTACTGCCACAACCAGTATTGCTACTGCTGTTTCTACCACCACTCTAAGTACTACTAATTATTACTACTGCTACAGCAACCACCAACAACAACAACAATCGCGTAAAACGCTTTTTTTTAATGAATTCTGTAAATGGCTGCTACACTGGAAACAACTACTACTACCACGACTACGACTATGACTTCGACTTCGACTACGCCTACGACTACTACCACTACTACCACTACGACTACCACTACGACTACCACTACGACTGCAACCACCACCAACAACAACAATCACGTAAAACGCTTTTTTTAATGAATTATGTAAATGGCTGCTACACTGGAAACAACTACTACTACTACGACTATGACTATGACTTCGACTTCGACTACGCCTGCGACTACTACCACTACTACCACTACTACCACTACGACTACCACTACGACTACCACTACGACTACTACCACTACGACTACTACTGCTGCTACTACTGCTGCTACTACTGCTGCTACTACTGCTGCTGCTGCTGCTGCTGCTGCTGCTGCTGCTGCTGCTGCCACCTCCACCGCCGCCACTGCCGCTGGTGCTACTACCACCACCGCCATAACCACTACTATCATCGACACCGCTATGATCATGGCGACTACTGCAACAGGACGGTGACAGCTACTGCTTGTATTAGAACAGTTTTGACCGTTCGGGCATTCTAATGAAGTTGAATTATGATTCGTTTCTTTCCATTTTTCTGCAGGCAATCGAGAATGCAGTCCAAGATTCAAACCTGTACCTTAACATGGAAAGAGACCTCCAGCTACCACCCCGCTTGGAACCCGACACCCATCAGACGATGCCTGGAGATACGGAGAGCAGTGGAGACGAGTGAGCGAGCTGGTGACCCAGTAAAGTGAAGGATTGAAAACGTTCCGAAACCAGTGACGATTGACAAAGGACAGAAATGCATCCGTCCCACGAGTGTTGTTGCGGCTTTTACACACAAAGCTATAACCAAAGCTATGTCACCGAAGCTACGTCACCGAAGCTATGTCACTGAAGCTATCACCGAAGCTTGTCCTCAGCAGCTATGGCTGCCACAGCTTGCAGAATATATGGTCATCTACACATAGATAATAATGACGCACCGACAGCAGTCAAGACCTGGATGCTCCTTGCCAATGGGGAGATTATCTGGTGAAGTTATCACTGCAGCTGTCGCCAGAGTTATCACACCAGATGAACTATCACCAGAACTGTCACCAGAACTATCACCAGAGTTATCACGGAAGCGTGCGCCAAGGGTTCCACTCACAGCTAGAGATACTGACTGCTGCCACATACAAGGCTACCCCCTAGCAGCAACGGTTGTGCAATTCGCATCGGAGCTTTAAACCCCACCAGTACTTCCTAAAGTTGTGTCCCTGTCAACAAGCCACAATTTTAGGAAACGTACGGGGCACTACAGGAGCGCCCAAATTCATCCGACTAGAAACGTTTCTACTCTATTTTTTCCTTCGTGGCCGATAGCTGCTGGGCCAAGCAAGTACTGTTGGTTTAAGCCAATTAGAACTCCATTGAAGTTTTACTTAACTTTATTATTTGTTTGAATTTGTTTCTTAAATTCTTAATAAGATAAGGGCCAGTACAGTACTTGTTGTTCTTATGGTGAGTAAGTTAAGGTTTAGTACTTTAGTTACTACTACTATCTTCACTACCGAAAAAAAACGCCCGGTCATTATAGCCGTGTATTTGGTGCAACTTGCAGTCTGCATACAGCGATAAAAGCCCGGTCATTATAGCCGCGTATTTGGTGCAACTTGCAGTCTGCATACAGCGATAAACGCCCGGTCATTATAGCCGCCTATTTGGTGCAACTTGCAGTCTGCATACAGGCGATAATGACCAGGTGGGCGTTCTATTCGGGTGAAGATGGTAGAGAATTTCAACTGGCGACTAAGTGGTCTGCAATCAACAAAAAAAGGTGAGAATCATTCGGACCGACCATGTAGGTTTTCACATACATACATACAGAATGTATATGCATAAAATATAAATTGCCATATTAATGATTCAAAATTTATGTTCATTAAATGTCATTTGTTAAAAAATTATGGGTTCTTCTCTTAGAGCTTAGAGACAGAGAGTATATAGCACAGACAAAAATCCCTTTTCCCGGCGTGGAGCTAATCAATCAAACATCTAATTGTCCTTTTTTCTGGTCATGGATAGTAGTTACTTAGAGAAGCTACTACAGCAGCAGCAGGTGATATCATCTGTTCAAAATTCTGTCCTTTTTTGTCACTAGCTGCCATTTCTCCTTTTCTCTCTTGTGTACTCTGTCTGATCTGAGAAAGTCTTGCTCTGATGATTTGTGAAAGCAGCTCTTTTTTTTTTTTTTTTTTTTTTTTTTTTTGAAAGCAACTCAAATTATTATATTGCAAAGCAGCTCAAGATCTTTGACATAATACATAAATTGTAACATTATCCAAAAAAAAAAAAAAAACCTAAATGTCATTGCAGTTCCACTGCTTGCAACTACGACGAAGATGCACGTTATCCAGTGATCGAATAACGAAGATGCATGTACTGCCATGAAGCCAAATCCATCCTTCATTTCTTCTTCTTCTTCTACTAGCACCATCCATAACCACCACCACCACCACCACCATTACTACCACTCCCTCTTCCTCCTACTACGAGCGTGTCTGCAGCACCCAGACCCGATAACCTAGGCTTTTTCGTGCCATTGCACCACGTCCTGGTGACACCTGCCTGACCAGGGAGCCCTCCTCCTTTCTCCTAGTAAACAGGTTAACCATTACCCCTTCCAGCCTTACATCAACTACATTGTGTATCTGCAGGGGGGGGGCCTCCTCCCTCACTGCCACCCAGTCTGCCTGCTGAAAGGATAGGCCTTTCCGCAGAATCACTACCCTTCTTCCACCAAATACAACATACGCCGGTCATTATAGCCATCTTTGGGGCATCTTTCAGTCTAAATACCCCTGTAATAACCATGCGTTGTATTCGGGGAAAGAAGGCAGCCAGGCCGGGGGGACCGAGAATATCATCGGGTCCAGGGTTTCTGAGACCCTGTGGGCGTGGCGCAGGAGGGGGCAGTGGGTCTGGTCCTCCTTTCTCCAACGCCATTTTTTTTTATTTTTATTTTTTTCACAATCATCCTTCAGGGCCAGGTCCTCTACCCCTTGGGTGATAAGAGCCCCAGAGGGTAGAGGCCGGCATGGTTCCGATGGCTCCTTTCTATTGGTGGGGAGCTGCACCTGCTGGAAACCGGGTCCAGCGTTCCTTCCAACGCCAAATTTTGCCCCGCCAGGCCCTCAAAAGTCCCAGCCGTGGTCATTTGCGACGTGCCACCAGCCTTTATCCGACCCCTACACTAAGCCTTTCAGCAGCAGCAGCGTGTTTACCTGAAAAGGGGGGTTTCCAAAGGGGGTTTCCAATGACTGGGCCGTCCACTGTGGAACACCATCCCTGGCTTTGATTGATGGACTTAACTCTTCCCCCCCACCACCCAATGGCTGGGCTGTCCACTGGTGGGACACCATTGCTGGGTTTGATTGACTGGACTTTCTCTGTTTTACCCCTTTGCCCTTGGCGCAGGCACATGCTAATCTTTCCTGTATAGCTCCAACTGATGTCCCGGGGTCCCTCTTCCACTTGCGCCAATTCGTTGTTTTCCTTCCAATGATCTTGGTATTCTTCTTCTTCTTCTTCTTCTTCTTCCCTTTCTCTTTTTTTTTTTTTTTTTTTTTTGGTGAAGATCTTGCTAATCTACAGCCAGGAAACGATGGGACTATCCAGCGGCCTAGCTCAGTTGGTAAGGCACGCAAGTGGCATTCAGGAGGTCTTGGGTTCAATCCCCATTGGCCTCATGTACCTTCCTGGGCAAGCTTGGCGCCCGCCACCTAGAGATATGCCGTTGGTCCCCCCGAGTGC